ATTAATGGCTGTTCTGTACAGTGATCTGCTCTCAGAGAGACCCAACAGGCCAGTCCACTGCAGTGGCTTTCAGTGTGGTAAGCCTGGGCTTCAGCAGAAGTCAGCTTAGGAAGAGCCCTGGCAGCTCTGCCAGCCAAGAGTTGGATCACTGGAAATGGACCTGTCCTGGAGTCGAAGGACTTCAGGTCAGAGCCACAGATCTTATTGGCTCTAAGCTGAAAAGCCCTTCACTTGGCCCAGCTTCCAAAGTGACCACCACTGCTGAGAGGAGACGGCCACGTAGGGTCAGCAACACTCAGGCAGAACTGTAAATTTCCTGTTAGAGATGCCACCTGCCTTCACCTGGCCAGCTCTCCTCCCAGGCCAGCTAGGTAATGGAAGTCAACAGGGTGCCTTCCCAAGGAGGTTCACACCTCCCTTTGGATGTACCCTATGTGAAGAGACAGACAAGTCTGGGCCTCTTAACTTATAAGGCCTAAAGCCTACCAGATTATTATCAAGCTCCTTCTGTCAGGTTCTATTTACCTCTCAATCAGCAAACTTAGTTGTGGCTTAGATAGTATCTTTCTTGGGTCCTCTAATAATGACTCTGTCCTTTGTTCTAGACCCTATCTAGCCCACTTGGGTCTCATTCCTTTGTAATAATAACTTCTACTTTAACATCAATGGCTCTGCTCCCAACCTGTGTGTACTGATGGTCCTCTCCTCCACTTAATTTGCATGATTATTCAGAATTTCTCTTCAGACAAACCCCACTACCTGCAAAAGCTGAGTGTCCTTTTTCCCAGTCTTGGCTGGGATCAGATTTAAACAACTTCCATCAAACAATCCTCACAAGGGTCCAAAGACCCCCCTCATTTCCTCTCCTCTATGACATCCTTTCATTACCTGGTTAATGCCACTCTTAGGATCATTGGTTGCTATTCTCACCCTGACTTGTATAGTACAGTGTCTGCTTAAGTGCTTACAGCAGGTGAAAATGGAATGAACCAAGGCCTTCAGCAACCAGGCAGTCAACCAGATGCCTCTCCATCCATACATGCCTGTCCCTGTGGAGCCCCAAGATACCCCCAGTGGGCCCCTGTAGACGATGTCCCCAGTCAGCAGGAAGTAGCCAGAGAGACTCATTGTCGCCCCCTTTCCTATCATCAAAAGGTTGGGATGGTAGCTTTGGGATCTGCATGGAAGGAAGGCCTACACTTCTGGGAATGGAAAGTTCCTACCTGTACCTTCGGGGAAGAAAAGTCCTTGTCAAGGTCCCTGCGGGTGCCTAAAGGTCAACCAATGAGGATCAGACCCGCCTCAACCTTTAACCCCCATGCCCTGAATCTATAAAAGGAGCTCTTCCAATCTCTGATGCGCGACTTCTCCGGCCCCCGCTCTGTTGGGGCCGGTGAACCTCGCCTGGGAGCGGAACCTCAATAAAAGCATGTGAATTAATTGATTCGTCTGCCTGGGAAGATTTGTTACGTGCCAGACACCTTGCAATATGATGGATCTGCAATACAGGAGCATATTCCTTCAGACACCTAAAACTGTGGTAGATACAGACTATTCTGACTGCCAAGTGTAAGACTGTGGGAATCTGTTAGCAAGAGGGTGTGATTCACCTCAGTCTTGTACAGAGAAATGTGAATGTCTTCGAGGTCATTACTCTCCAATGATCAAGTATAGTACAGACTATCATAATTGTGGTTTCCAACCCAGTGGACATTCCTACATATGTAACCTGGAAAATAAATGGATTGTCCAAGCACTAAATGATTGTGAGTGGGTGCAATCCAGATCCCGCTATACTTCACCAAATGATAGCTGAAAAACTTGGCAGTCATCTCAGCTTTGCCTTGGATGGATTTTGGGAGAACACAGCAACCCAAGTGTGGTTTTGTGGAGTGGAGTGAACATGGTGGATATTTCTCTCAAGGAACTAACTCTAGAGAGGGGAAAGGACAATGATAATGAGAACTGGTGCATAAGATGGTGGTTGAAAGTGGCCATGAAAGCAAACTAAAGGGGTATACCAATTGGGATTAAGTGGATTAAATGTGGCTGATCTCATTGAATCCTTATTCAAAGTTCTATCCAAGATTTACTCAGTGTCAACAATGGTGAAGAAGATAGAGGGCACTGAGAATGAGTTTTCCTGAGTTTTTGTATATCCTCAATGCTTGGCGACTAACCAGTTTGTCAACCAGAAGCTGAAAGATGATAAGGTTGTGCTCAAGTAAAGTGTAGTTACCTTGTGAGACATCCAGAAGGACCTTAAGACCTGTTACTACTGAGTTTTAGGCTGTAAAAACTAAAAATTATAATGTAATACATCCCGAAAAACTAAAAAAAAAAAAAAAAAGCTACTTGCTCAGAAATAAAGGGAGAAAAACGCACACTTGACATGATAAAAGCAAAAATGGGATTACTAATGTAATACATCCTGAGTCTTTAGTTTTCATGCATATACACGGACCACAGTTGGCTTCAATCTTCCTTAATAGGTGATTTGGGCTTACAGACTCAAAGCCCATGACTGGGATAATGCTCAAAAAAGAGCTCTTGAATAAAAGTATTGATTGCAGTGTGCTTCTACAAAAACAACACAAGAAAACCCAGCAGGTTCTGTTTTCAATATGGTCATGGTAACGCACTAGAAAATTGTTTTTGCACATTGAGGAGCCCAGTAACGTAACCTTTTCCTGGATGACTAAAAGAAATAACCAGTTAATATAACAAAATATAATTAGAACCATAAGTCTGTAATCCCCTATATAGGATGCAAGCATGATTCAGAGACGGAACCAAAAGCAAAGATTTTACTAGGAAATAACCTATTAGGTTAGCCACTTAAACCCTTTGTGCTTCATCTGCAAACCAGTGTGTTGAACTACAGTATTTCTAGGAGAACTACCTAAAAGCGCATATGATGGATATTTGTAAGGTATTAACTACTATATAATTGTATGATCACACAATTATTCATTCACTCATTGTAGATATTGATATAGATATCAATCCCTAATCAACTTACACAAATTTAAACTACAAAAGTGTTACTAACAGATTGTACATAAATCAAAGAAAGCAAATTTCAAATAACCATTGGAAGAACTACTCGCACTTAGTATTTACACATTCATATTTTTACAGATAAAGAATAACTATGAAGTGCCAAGTTTTCTTCCTACTGGCCATACACACAACGAGGCTTGCTTGCTACCTGACTATCTAAAGTAATCTTTCCAAGAAATGTATCATTTCCTTTTTCCAATAGAGAGTCTTTGAGCAGTCCGAATTCATTTAATAGTTACATACAAGTGGTATGCAAATATTTACTGATTCTAATGGTGAGGATAATTTTTGTTACTGATTCTCCAAGAATCAAAGCATAATAAACAATATTTAATCTTCAAGATCTTGCCTTGCTCTAAGAATCATTTTTGTGAATCTAAATTATTGTGTAGTATTTTTTAAATAATTCAGCTATTCAAATACAGTGTTAGGAATTTTAAAAAGTGTTTAAGTTAAATTCAAGAAACATTTTCATATTTTTATAACTTCTGTAATTATAATTAAACTTGGTACATGTTCAGCTTTTAATATCTTTCTTTCAAGAAAAGTTATCCAGTATGCAGGAATTACACTGAACCTGTTCTCTTTGTATCAATACCACATTAACATGAGAATTGATTATGTTTTGCTGTGACCACAAGAATCAAATGAATAAATTCTCCCTTTTAAAAAAGAAACATTATCCAGAAGAATGTGAATTTATACAAGGTATGTAGTTATCCTCCCTAAATTTTAAACTTTCATCTTCCATGATCTCACTATAGTTTGCAATTCTGAGTTTTGTATATTTAAGATTCTCAAATATTGTCTTAAAATATCCTCTTATATCTATCCTGTTAATCCATACTATTTCCTTCCTTCCTCATCTTTCAGCTGTTCATTTCTCATCATGTCCTTAAAAGATGATTAACAAGTAATCATTTCTCTTTAATGTGCTTTCGCAATGAAAGAGAAGGAAAAACACACACTGCCAAACTGCACAGTAAACTTGATAACTTTCCTTATTTCTACAATTCTTCCTTGGCTAAATTTGAACAAAAAATCTTTTTTTAAACTTTTCATTTATTTACTTTATTTATTTGAAAGCATGGGGCACATAGAGGGAGAAAGAGATATCCTATTCTCTGTTTTGCTCCCCAAATACCTGCAACAGCTAGGCCTGGGCTAGGTTGAAGCCATGAAACTGGGTTTCATCATGGATGACAGGGACTCAAGGTGCTGCCTCCTAGGGTGTGCCTTTAGCAGGAAGCCAGAATCCAGATTGGAGCCAGGACTTGAACCCAAACACTCCAATATGGGATGGATGTGGACTTCCTATGCAGTGTCTTTTATTATTATTATTATTATTATTTACAGATTTATTTATTTACTTGAAAGGCAGAGTTACAGAGGAGTAGGAGGAGACAGAAAGAGAGAGAGAGAGACATCTTCCATCTGCTGGTTCACTCCACAAATGGCTGCAATGGCTGGAGCTGGGCCAGGCCAAAGCCAGGAATAAGGAGCTTCTTCCAGGTCTCCTACGTGACTAGAGGGGCCCAAGCACTTGGGCCATCCTCTGCTGCTTTCCCAGGCACATTAGCAGGGAGCTGGATCAGAAGTTGAGCAGCTGAGACTCCAACAAGGCCCCATATATGGCATGTGGGTGCCACAGGTGGCAGATTTACCCACTATGCCTCAGCGCCAGCCCTACCTAAGCAGTGTCTTCAGTGCTTCACCAAATGTCTGGCCTCAAACAATTTGAATAGTGAAAAAAAAAAAAAAGACAGCCAGGTTGAACACTGAAACATAGATTTTTTTTTTTACTTACTTGGACTAACCAAAAAGGGATAATTTCAGTGACCTATTACTTACAGATGATATTTAGGTACTATATACATGTACTTTACTAGAATATTTACAAACACTCATATAATACTTTTAATGGTGACAGTACATACCAGTTGACATACTGAGTCCAAAGCTTTAAGGAAAAATAAAAAAGAAAAACTATGAGAAATCTCAAATTATGAAGCTAATGTAAAAAATATTTTAATTGTGCATTTAAAATTTTTTAAAGGCTCATTAAATGAAAAAAGGCAAGAATTACCAAGAAGTTCCTGGTGACTTTCTGAATTCTTCATTTGTAATTATACCAAACTTCTTAATCCTCATATCAAGCCTCTGAAAATGTATGAATAAATATTTTATAAGTGTAAGAAAGTCTATCATCGAAAGTAACAAAATAAGTACAGAAGAGACTATACCTAGTAATAATTCTGAGGAGAAAACAGAATGGGATTGAATAATTAAGAACATTTACAGCCTCATATATCAACATGTCTTGTAGAGAATACTACATAAAGACAGATCAAATCTTTTTATTTATTTATTTATTTATTTTGACAGGCAGAGTGGACAGCGAGAGAGACAGAGACAGAGAGAAAGGTCTTCCTTTTTGCCATTGGTTCACCCTCCAATGGCCGCCGCGGCAGGGGCACTGAGGCTGGGGCACTGTGGATCACGCTGATCCGAAGGCAGGAGCCAGGTGCTTTTCCTGGTCTCCCATGCAGGTGCAGGGCCCAAGCACTTGGGCCATCCTCCACTGCACTCCCGGGCCATAGCAGAGAGCTGGCCTGGAAGAGGGGCAACCGGGACAGAATCCGGCGCCCCAACCGGGACTAGAACCCGGTGTGCCGGCGCCACAAGGCGGAGGATTAGCCTAGTGAGCCGCGGCGCCGGCCCAGATCAAATCTTAACAGATGAATACTATCTCCTGGGCTTCACAAAAATATAAAAATGTAAAATTTGCCCACCATACATTAGAATATACAACAATGTAATAATTTTTAAAAAGATGGTTTTGATAAAAGAATAGATTCACAAATGTTAAAAGTAAATAACAGTAATAATTCATTAATTGAGCATATAGAATGAGCTAATCATTATGTTGTTTGATACATCAGTTTTATTCAGATCCATAATTTAATGACTTGAAATTAGTACTTGCAATGCATTTTGAATTTATTATCTCCATTTGACAGATGAGGAAAGAAAGTATGAAGGTTAAGTAACTCAGTTAAGGGCATACTGATTTATCTTTTGATAAACTGCTATGTACACTCACATAAATGTGCACACTTGTAAAAATAATTTCTTTAGGAAAAAAGGTAGATTCCTATGGTACCTTTTTTGTTGTTGTTTTGTTTTTAAAGATTTATTTGTTTGAAAGGCAGAGTTACAGAGAAAGAGGGAGAGGGAGAAAGAGAGATGTTCCATCTGTTGGCTAACTCCCCAGTGGCTGGGCGAGGCTCAAGCCGAAAACAGCAGCCCAGAGTTCCATCTGGGTCTCCCACAAGACTAACAGAGTCCCAGGTACTTGGGACATCCTATGCTGCCTTCTTAGGCCCATCAGCAAGGAGCTGGATTAGAAGTAAATCCGCAGGGACTCAAACTGGTGCTCAGATATGGGATGCTGGCATTGTAGGCAGTAGCTTAAACTGCTCCACCATCACACCAACCCCAATACTTCTTTTACCAAATGAATTTCCATGTGAATTTTAAGGAAGGTTGTGCATGGGAGGGAAGTTATGGTGTGGGGGGAAAGCCATTGTAATCCATAAGCAGTAATTTGGAAATTTATATTCATTAAATAAAAGTTTTTAAAAAAATCACTGTCAAAAGAAAAAAAAAAGGAAAAAAAAGTGCCAGAAGAAAACACATAATTTTGAATTGTGATTACTGTAAGAAGACTATCAAGAGCAAATGCCATAAAAGAAATCTGTGATATATTTAACTACATAAAATCAGAAACATTCGTATGGCAAAATATATCACCACCAAGTTAAATACACACAATAAGTTGGTAATGGTTTTCCAATATATAGGACAAAATTTTACTCTCTGTGATGTAAGAATTTCTATAAATAATAAAAATACTGACACTCGAAATAAAAAGGAAAAATGGTAAAGATAGAAAAGGACTTTCACCAGATAGGAAATACAATGACTGATTAACATATGAAAATATTTTATTCACTAGTAACCAGTGAAATTCACACTAACATAAAAGTGAGATTTTCTACTTGTCTGATGAGTAAAGTTGGCCAGTGTTGGCAAAGATGTAGGAAAACCCCCACTGACAAATATTGCTGATTTGAGAGTTAATTACTACCATTTTGGGGAAGGTAATGTGTTAGTATGTAAGACATCTTTTTTAAAAAGTCACATTCTTAGATTTTAAGAATTCTACACTCTATGAATTTATCCCAAATAAACTTTATAATTTTTTGTTAAAATATGTTTGTGGACTTAATTGCTTACAATTGGGAGAAATAACTGGAAACAACTAAATTGTTATAGTTCAATAGAATTTAATTCTTGCAAACCCATGTAATAAAAGCTGATACTATGATTAAAATGGTGATTCAAATCTGTGTTTACTGACATGAAAACATGTTCATGATCACCGATCACCAGAAAAGCAAGACACAGACCAGAATGTCTAATACTATCCTAATTTCCATGAATACTAAATATGAGGGGAAATTTAAGTAACTTTTTGCTTTTTAAAAAAATTTCTACCTTTCCTAAAATAAATAGCAATACTCGAAGAATTCAAAATCAACATAAAAATTAAATCAAAACTTAAAAAGCAGAGAATGAAACATATACAATTCTTTTAGGATTGCAATTAACAAATGAGAGGTGATATAGAGGGTAACAGCCAAAAGTGAGTCATGCAAAAAAGATACCCAGTAGACTCATGGGTAACAGGGACAAGAAAGGGCAACAGCCAAATGAATAAATGCACTGTTTGCAACTCACACTGTTTGCAAAATAGGAAAAAATAGTTGTTTTTTTGTTTTTTCAAAATTACTGTACACACAGGTTTGAATCTCCAAAGACCCACAAGAAGACTATGGATCAGAGTAGAAGCTGGAAAACTGTTTATTATCACACTTCCGACAGTCCCCAAATATTTCAACAAAAATCATAGTGTGATGGCTTAGAAAACATATTAGTTGGAAGATCCAAGATGTCTGAATAGAGAAAGTATGCACTTATTATGACCATGGGAAGATAACAGAAGAAGAGGGGAGGAACCACATTCCCAGGGGACAGTTGGAGAGGTTTGCAGTGGAAAATGTACAGAAAGAAGAGAGATGCCAAGAAACTGCAGGGATGGTACAATCACGCAACAGTAAGTGGGACAGCAGGAGCAATTCCCATGGCTGGACGGGATGCCATCTTCTTGGAGTGAGGTGAGAGGAACCTACAGTAGCCTGTGCAAATGGTGATATTGCCTGAAGAACCTCACAGTTCCCACTGACTTTGAGTCCAGCCTGAAGCACTAGTGGGGTAGAGGGTGCCTACATAACCTTGTGAAGAGAGAGCACATTGCTCTCCTCCCCTAGGCCCACAGAGGTGGCCAGCGAACAACAGAGAGGAAGTACCATCTTAATAAGGCAAGTACAGGCTGCGGCATCCTGTGAGTGACTGAGGGATTTTACTGGAGGGATATAAACCCTCGGTCCCCACTGACTTTGAGCTGGCCTGGAGGGTTGGTGGGGGACAGGAAGTGCTCTCCTCCCCTCACTCTTTCAAGGCGCCTGGACAAAGCTTGCCAAGGCAGACAATCAACCAACCTCTGTTGGGCAGAAAGCTGGCACTGGAAATGCTGAGGCTCTTTCGGTGGACAGGTAAGGCTCATGGGCTCCTCGTGCCTGTGGGAGCCCTGTGCCCCGTGACTGTGGGAATTCTCTGACTGAGACAGGGGGTGGGGTGTGGTTGGGTCTTTGGGTAATCACTTTGTCTAGCTTCCGAGGCTCAGAGTTCCCTTTGGAGGGTCATCGCTGAGGGTTCCATGTTCCCACTGAGGAGGGACACATCGGCAGAGTGGGCTCACCCTGGGCAGCTGGTTCACCTTGGCAAGGAGCTGAGGTAGTGATCACAGCGGTCCCTTGCTAATGACAGTGATCTACCATGCCCAACTTGGGTGTTATTCTGGACTCTTGCCCCACCCTCAAGCACTGGCCAGAGCTCCCTGGACCCACCCAGCACACAACTCTGGATATCTGCTTAAGGAACAGATACTCCACTTAGTCACAGATGCATATTTTCAAAGATAAAAGCCCTCAGAGGAGAAAACCAACAAGTGTTCCCAGAAATGGCTAAAAATATTTTTTATTTCTAAAAGAAATTTTTAAAAATCTCTTGTAGAAATATAAGAAACATGAACAAAGAAGATAGTACAACTCCCCAAAAGGAACAAAACCAAATATCAATATTAGAATGTGAAGATGGGGGCTGGCGCTGTGGCCTGTGGCATAGTGGGCTAGGCCTCTGTCTGTGGCATCAGCATCCCATATGGGCACCAGTTTGAGTCCCAGCTGCTTCTCTTCTGATCCAGCTCTCTGCTAATGGCCTAGGAAAGCAGTGGAAAACAGCCAAAGTGCTTGGGCCCCTGCACCCACGCAGGAGACCTGGAAGAAGCTCCAGGCTCCTGGCTTCAGACTAGCCCAGCTCCGGCAGTTGCGGCCATTTAGGGAGTGAACCAGTGAATGGAAGATCTCTCACTCTGCCTCTCAAATAAATAAATCTTTAAAAACAAACAAACAAAAAGATTGTGATAATTGTGAAGATGAACAAATTGGTGAAATGCCAGAAAAAGAATTCAAAAAAATGATCACAGGTTTACTCAAAAATATAGAGGTGCAAATACATGAGTAGAAGAAATGATTTAGATGAGAAATTCTGCTGGGAGATGGAGATACAGAAGGAAAATCAACCTGAAATACTAGAAATGAAGAATTTAATATGTCAAATAACAAATACAGTGGAAAGCCTTAACAACAGATTCAGTGAGGCAGAAGAAAGAATATCTGAGCTGGAAGACAAATCTTTAGAAATACCTCAAAAAAAAAGAATAAAAAATCAGAAAATGTGAAAACAATGTTTGAGATTTATATGATGACCAAATGTACGTGTCTTAAGAGTTCTTGAAGGTAGCCGGCGCCGCGGCTCAACAGGCTAATCCTCCGCCTTGCAGCGCCGGCACACCGGGTTCTAGTCCTGGTCGGGGTGCCGGTCTGTCCTGGTTGCCCCTCTTCCAGGCCAGCTCTCTGCTGTGGCCCGGGAGTGCAGTGGAGGATGGCCCAAGTGCTTGGGCCCTGCACCCCATG